AAAAAAGTTGCAGTCGGCTCCCATCCCACCGTTGGTTCCAAAAACTAGGGGAGTGAAAGATCCCATTTCAACGTCCAACACCCTCTGTTGGTGTTTCCGCTTTTTCTCCTCCTCCTGTTCCTTAAAGATTGTGGATGTCGCTTTTCCCTGGTTACACTTGAAGCTAACATGCGTTACTCTGACATCGAAAAATGCTGTAACTCCACGAGACCAAGAGCCCCCTGCCTTGAAGTCCAGTCTTGCCTCCGGGCTTGTTACCTCGCTTCTGAGGTTGAATCGCTCATTATCGAGAGGTTGTAGTTGTGGTTCGACTTCAACGTTGGTGCAAACCTTACCAATAAGTGAGGTAAATAGGTTGCGAACACCATCGTGTCTCTGCGCCACGAACCCTCCCTTTTTGCATGACAGGGCATGGCAGACGGTATACTTCTCACCACAAACACACTAAGTAAGTCGGACAGGGGCATATTATACCTTAAACGCAGAGAGTCTCTGAATTCTTGTTTATTCAACGGGCACTGCGGTAAGCCATGAGCTCGCACCCTTGTCTCTCAATTGGTTAACTCACCGCAGCAGATCCGAGGGTAGAGTGAAATCAATACTTTCCATTCTCAATTTCACCGACGCGGTTTCAGGCTTGATGTTGTCTTTTTAACTCCTCCGTGGAATTCTCGCCTGCCACCATGAACATGCTCTGTGTGGTAATAGAATCTACGTGAAGTGCTGTTAATAATAATAATAATAACAATAATAATAATAAAAATAATAATAATAATGATAATAATAGTTATAGTTATTATTATTATTATTATAATAATTATTATTATTATTACTACTATTATTAGTATTATAAAAACACCTGGTCATAGGGTTAGAAATTATCCTGCGCTAGGACACTACTAACCAATGTAGGATTCTCCTTTAGGTAACGAACAACTTTCTTCCTTAGTTTTTTATGAGAGAGTTTCACTCCTTGTATGAGCTCCAGCTGTTCTGAGATTGCAAAAAACATGCAATTTCCTTCTCCCCGATTGTCGGATATTTCAAAGCCTTTTTCATAAGCAATTTTTTTCAAATTCAGCGAAGGATCAGTTTTGCCAGCGTTTCCTTTTGCTTCCATCTTGCATATTTGTCGAAGGGCATCGTGAATGACCCCACCTGTGAATGAAAAAAGAGCAACAATGTTCACTTTGAATCTAAAAAAGGCAAGAGGCGTACAGGTTCAATACAAGATAAATAGGTTTTTATGCCTCTCTCTTTTAATACTCTGGCATCCAAAAAAAAAGCAATCAAATCTGATTATCGCATAGGAGGCATAAGAAACATCATTTATGGCATTGTACCTCTCTCCTCCTCCTCCGGTGCTGTCATTAAAAGCCAGCCTATGTGGCTAAAATAGAACTACAGCAACTACACATACTACAGCAACTACAGCAAACTACAATAAGTACAGCAACTACAGCAAATACACCTACTACTAATGAAGGCCGACGTCTCGCGTCCGGAAATTCAACGAGGTATAGATAACAGGAATGAGGCCAAAAACCGTGACAATGCAAGTAGTCAATTACCTTTACGTGGAATAAGGCTAACATAGTGAAGCTCAGACAAATGTCCCAGTACAAGCCGCTTACTGTCAGCATCCTCACATTGTGGGTTAATTATTACATCACGATAATCTGGCTGACTGCTGATCACGTGAATACATGTTTCAAAGCAGTTTGCCGCACCATGGAGAATCACGTGATCACCCCATGAACCATCGGCCTTCTTATTTTTGAGGTAGTCATCCCAAGATGAATATCCTCCAACAAAGTGGAATAGTTCGGTCCCATCCGGCTATAACAAGAAAAATACTATTTCAAATGTTTTATTGATTCAAGAGAGTGCTGACGCACCCATTATCAGTATATGCTTCTCTCATTTTTATCTCCACATTTCTTGAAAGGGAAAGGAACGACACCTCCTTGCTCGCTGTAAGAAGTGAAAAAGGAGAAACATTTTCCCTCCGTTCCTTCTAGTTCTTTTTGCTTCTTTTATGATGGTTGTTCTGCTTTCATCTTTGCTGGGATAATGTTCTATAATGTTCTTAGTTTATCTACGTTTTTCCATTTAGTTCTATGAGCTCACTCTAATTATATAAACTAGACCTTTTCACGGTTTATGACGCCATCTTGGCTGGGCGGCAAACACGGCTAAAATTACAGTCAATATACGGGATTTTGGCCCACTTGGAACCGCTATACTGCCGCTACAAACAGGCGGATTTCCAACATTTGCCACTACTGTCATTAGTTTTAAACTAATGCGATTAAAGAAGCTATACGACGTCCGTAAATTCGAATTATAAATCTTCCATGTGGCTTCTAATTTCATGGTAATTTGCATAATGTTGATTAGAAGGGTTTGTATGAAATCGTCATTAACCGTGAAAAGGTCAAATCCATAAAGGATTATAACATAACAAAAGTAAATCGCGCGCTCTGATTGGTCAGTTAGCCACTACCATTTGTCCGTGAGTGCACGCCAAGAAACTGAGCTAGCGCGGTAAAATTTAGGCAAAATTCAACAAATCTCCTCTCCTGACGGTAAAATACACCGATGAAATGCACAGATAAAAAGTGGAAGTTGAAGAAAATACTAAGCTGTCGTTTTCAAGGAAAAAAGACAAAAGATTGCGGGACAAATTTGCCCTGGATGAATTAATCACTGTTTTCCTTGCGGCTAGAATCGGCTGAAGGAAAATCGAGCGAGCGAAGATTTAAGGTACATTTTGTGTGTTTTTTATAGAAGAGAAAGTCTGTTTGAAATGTAAATTTATCAATTAGCATTGTGTTATTGACTTTTTGGTCAAGCTGATGCTAAATTCAAGCAAATATTTTAGGAAACACGCTCAAATTCGAGACAGCTTTGTTGTGAAGTTTTCATCGCATCGATTAAAAATTTTAGTTGAGTTTAAACGGGCACATTACGCTGGAATAAGCGAATTTCATTTAAGTACAGAAACATTTGGGTTTTCAAATAAATTTTTCAAAACATAACTTCTGTGTGTATTATTTTGTTCCTCAGTGTTCATTCATAACAGTCGTTCAGAGAACGGTCGAAAAACAACAGCTTCAGCGCCGGTTGTATGTCGGCGAATTTCAGTTGCAACTTTGACTTTCATAGCTGGATTTCCCCAGACAGATTTCGATGCAAAGCTAGTTAATTTCTTTTTAAAATTAGTGTTAACTGTTATTCTTAAGGAATTACAGTCAAATTTTCTCATTTCTACTTTACGTTTATTTCAAAAATTGTCACATAAATAAGCTTGATAGTTATTTCATTTATTTAGTTTAAGCTTATTTTTCAGTCTATTTAGTTGGTGTTTATAGTTGCAGCTATAGTTTTCCCTCAAAGTTTTTACCCTAATATTAATAGAAAGTAGACAGATGCCATTCAGAATAACAACGAAAAACGTTTTGCAATTTACCTGAAGACGGAGAACGGTTGATTCAGCGAAAGAAAAACTCAAAGGCACGTTTTTGAAAAACGTAGAACATGATTTGTTTACGCGCGGGCAGATGTCAGCATACATGAACTCGTACCGATGACTCAACCGAAGGCAAATGGAAAATAATGTTTTTCTCTTTTGATTATGTTATAAAAGAAATGGTAAACGTTGCAGCTGTGCAACCATGGAGTTATGGATGCACTTGGGAGGTTTGCTAAGCACTCAAGAAGCTAGAATCGCACTCGGCCACTCTTACTCTTCTTTCGTGCTTAGCAACCTCCCGCGCGCATCCATAACTCCATGGTTGCACGCTGCACGTTTACCATTTCTTAATTTGTCATAATTGTGTCAGCAAACAGAGCTAGGCGCCGTATGAAGATTCCGCCCCAATGAACAACACTTGATATGTAAGGGAACATTACTATCAAAAGCAAGTCATTAAAACTCACTGAATCTCGCTGATAACAGAAAACAGCGTGACCGAGCGGTTAGAGCACTGGTGACTTGTAATCTGGATGCCCTGGGTTCAAGTCCTGCCCTGACCGCCAGTTGAATTTGTTCTCGTTAGTCCCGAATAGAAATCCTCGGCCACGCTTGTAAAATAGTCAACTGGTTTGCCTCCTACCAGTTGGGATTCTGAACCTTTTTATGTTCCATTTCAGTTATTTGCTTCATTATCTTTGGAAAGCTCAATAAGGATTGTTAATACATAGCACCATTTTGAATTTGATAACATGCTTTTACAAGCAGTTAAAAGCACGCTGTATGGTTAACATTAAATCTTAGCCGAGTAAACTTAACTAGCTGATAGAATCAACAGCAAAGCATTTAGCCTGCGATCATGCCGTCAAGCCATATATTATAAGTCGTTCCGCTGATTTTACTTCCCCGAGTACAAAAACATTTAGTAGCAGACGTTTTTCTCGCCCTGATAAAAGGTCGACCAGATGCTGGCGTATTTAGAGCGAGGGGCGGATAGGGGGCCGTTGGCGACTGGTGAAAAAAAAGCGTATCAGCTCTTTTTTTCCCTCTCTTCTCAATCTTCTCAAAAAATGATAATATTAATCACAATAAAAAAAACGCCTGATAGCAGATAAGAAACTATCCGGTGCTAGGAAACCACTAACCAGTGTAGGATTCTCCTTCAAGTAACGGACAACTTTCTTCCTTAGTTTTTTATGAGAGAGTTTCACTCCTTCCATGAGCTCCAGCTGTTCTGAGATTGCAAAAAACATGCAATTTCCTCCTCCCTGATTGTCAGAAATTTCAAAGCCTCTTTCGGAAGTAACGTTTTTCAAATCCAGCGAAGGCTCCCTATTGTCGCCATGTATATTTCCTTCCTCCATCTCGGCTATTTGTCGAAGGGCACAATGAATGACCCCACCTGTAAATGAAAATTAGCCACGACATTCACTTTGAATATCTTTCTAAATCAATCTCCATTCAATTTTAAAACAAGATATTAAAATACTAATGTCATGCCTCTCTTTTATTAACTCTGTCATCCAAAAGCTACGACAAATTAAAACCCAACCAGGAGGGATAATAAACTTCATAGAAACGGTAATCTGACATTGACCTGTCAGTCGCATATCTATCTACAACCCGTTACAGCAGCTTCTTACAGCCTTTTTTCATGACCTGGGTTTTTCCAAAATGTACCACATTCCTCACTGGATGGCGGCCAAAATTTCCCCCGAATACGCGCAAGTGAGCCTTCTCGCAGGCTAGCACCACATTGGCAATATGGAGAAATGGAGCACCTGAAATTCACAAACGTTTTGGAAAAAAAATTCGAAACTTATGCTTGTATATTCTGAAAAATAATAATAAAAAAAACATTCACTGCTCTTAATCCTCACCTTGAGCTAAGTGGGCATCACTCTCTATCTTTCTTACTTGGTTCCAGCTCTTCCTGCCCGATTTGTGCTGCTTGATTTTTCTTCTACCTATTGAGGACAAACAATGACAAATTTCTTCGATAAACATTTTAGTTTCACATGACTCCTCATTCTGCACAGTTGCGGTTTTCAAGGCTTCTTCAGGACCTTTGGGTACTCTACATCGATAAAACCCAAATTTGTCGCGTAAATTTTGCAAGGCAACTCAAAAATCTGCCTAAAGAGAAAACAACTATAAACTGACTCTAGGGTTTATTCGCAAACATCTATCAATTTAAGCTACAAGAGCCGTCTTTGGACGAATTGTACTGTACTGTAAGGGCCGGCTTCCTTGTGTATAAGTTGTATGTTTCGAAACTCGTGCATCCTCACAAGCTACACGTGGTACCAACACCATGGTTCCGACGGGCTGTTCAGGGGGAATATCCAGTCAATAACTAAACGCACTGCTTATGCATGGGTTACAAAGTACCAAAACACAGCAAAAATAAGTAACTTGAACTGTAGATTGTTTTCACTGTCACGCAACAAAAAAATAAATTGGAAACCGTCCAGTGGAAGAAGCCAAGAAAATGAAATGTTGTAAGTCTCAGGTCTTTGTCGCCCATAGTGTCAAGTGTCTGAGGTTATTTACCGAAACGTTTCACGCACCTTTGCAGAGCTTTGTACGGAGACGCCATATTGGTGCACCGTTTTAGTGCACCAATATCGCCGCCGGAAATCAACAAAAATATCTTGAGTTTACTTTTTCTATAAAAGCTCTTTATTTTCACACGAGAACCAGCATACGTGCACATAATACTTTCTAATACTTGAAATGGTTATACTACTGAAAATCAAGAGGGAGAGACTTTTTTTCAACGAGACAGCACTCCTGTTTTGGTGTCATGCACTGTAAAAACTCGGAAGTTCAAATTGTTGTATTTTCGAACTAAAACATGCTACGGGAATGGAAACTTGTACAAAGATTTACTTTTTGTTTATCTTCAACCTAGTGTAAATGAGAATTCGTAAAACCTCGCTATTTTGACTTTACAATTTGATGACGTTACTGTGAAAACCATCTATACCCGAATCCAACTCGTCCCATTCTAATCTGAGTGCGTTTTCCGTAATAAGCACAGTCGAAACTCTCCACAACGGCCACCTGGTGGCCTTTATGGCGAGGTACGGGTATATTATGACAATTTTTTAGGGAGTACAACATGTTTATTGTGATAAGTTTAGATAACACACAAAAATGAAAATGTTAACGTGGCAAACCGTAGTTTGTCGTTTGCGGAAAGTTGGCCAAGCCTCGATCTTAAGGACTCGAATGTGGTCGTAACAACAACGCGGTCATATAAACGTGGAAGTTGTAAGGTAACACTGCAACAAGATCAAAAAACGCTGCTACATCACTTTACCCTTTCAGAGGATTAGCTAGCTAAATTGATTCAGAGCCATTTGTCATCCAGTTTACCCAAAACTACTCTTTGAACTGCAATGCAAAATTTAGATTGGTTGGAAGCAAACTTTTCAAAAGATTTATTAATTGGATTATGAGAAGATCAAAACCACAACTGAGCCGAAGGAAAAGAATAGGAGATGGCATTGGAAAATACAACATGAAAGTTTCCTGAATGTCCAGTACTCACTTGCACTCCCACAGTGTGGCAAGGCTTGAAAAGCAATAGTGTCGCTAAGAATGTGAGCCGTTAGAGAAGCTGCCATAAAACTTGCGAATGTTCTCCAAGAATCCTTAACATTTCTGCCATCAGCGTAGCCTGAAATTCCTTTAATAACTACCCACTCAATGTCCAGGTTATGCGCTGCTGCATACACCCCTAAAAAGGAAATTTGTGGGAAATCGAGAGAAGTGAAATTAGCAGTTAAGGCAGAATCCGTCAGGAAATTGAGTAATTTAAATTTTCAGTGGACAAAAACATTGTACCAGAATAATTTAAAGCATATCGCATTCTTTTTTAGATTTTTCAAGGGCTAAAGATATAATTAGTCATCTGTGGTAACAAATTTCTTTTCGGAGCCCGAGGAAATAGATGTCAAATTTCACAAAATGACATCTTACACATGAAATTTTCAGAATTTCACCTTTGTTTTCACAATCCTTGTGAAATTTGACGTATATTTTCTCTCACTTCCTTAAGAAATTTTCTTTGGTGTTACTACAGATGACTAATTACATCTTTAACCCTTGAAAAATGTGAAAAATAATGCAATATTCCTTAAATTATTCTGATACATGGTTTTTGTCCACTGAAAATTAAAATTATTCAATTTCCTGGTGGATTCCGTCTTAACACTGATGCAGACACCGGTGGAAAGAGCCAATTCAAGAAGAGAGACACTGTCAATAAGAATTGACAATTGTCACTTTGAACTTGATTTTAAAGCATCAATATGAGGAGGGCAATGAGTTCATACAATAAAATACCGTATACCGAGACCCACAGACCTTTTTTGTGTAGTATATAATAACCTTAGATATAGAGGCAAGATAGCCAGCTGACAAGAAAAGGAATAAAAAAAACCCTTTCTTAAAGCCAACAGGCGCTCAAAAACTGCAAATTCAAACGAACGCCGGTTTCAAAATGGCGATATGTGTGTAATGAAAACGACAGTTTAGATTCTTGTGGAACCCTATTTGAATCTGATTCACAGAGGTCGGTTCTAAAAGAATGTTCTCTTACAATAGACAACCATTTCTTACTTCAACACATGAACTGCAGGCCAAGCAACTTACCTTCACCTTCTCGCTCTATAGCAACTGCTTCTGGAAATCGTTCGATGAGTGCGTTACACTGCTGGTGGTTACTTATAACTTCCGGTCCACTCAGAAACGTGCCGCGATGTATCTTTACCTCGAGTGCTCTTGGATCTTTCAAAGGTGGCTTCCAGCCATTATCAGCATTTAGAATCAATTTTGAAAGATGACGCTTTAATGGAACTTTGACTCCAAGTTCCTCCATGCCATTTTCCGTAGCTTTAGAAAAAGCATATGATACTAACTTCTCCGAAACTACTACGTCTCCAAGATTAACTCTGGTGACATTTAGGCCACTGCAAGAACCCACACAAAACACTGCTTTCGGCTTCAAGACTTGAACAGCGTCTATCACAACAAATATAGAACCTCCCGTAGAGCTCGAACCCTCGTAGCACTTCACAACAGCAACGTTTAGTTTCAAATCATTTTCTCCTATATCTCCGACGTACGCGCAGCCAAGGTTTGGGTGGTAAATCCTACAGAAACCAGGATTCAGATGGGCAAGGCAGCTTAGAAATTCACAATCCTCGGAGGCATCCGCCTTCATCACCGTCAGTAACAAAATATCGACTTGGATTTGGCAATCATCAAAATCTTTTGACGTTGGAGGAAGATCTTCTTTCCTTATCTGAAGAGCAATGACTTCAGGTGGATCAGTGGCAGATTCTTTAGACGGAGTCTCTATGAAAAAAGTATATGAAATAGAATATCGCCAGCCTGATTAATATTTAAGGAGTAACACTGCAATATGAATTGACTTTATAAATGAATACGAAAAGGTAAAAGGCACATTGCAACATTCCCTACACCCCCCTCCCCATCCCTGTCCAGCGAGGCAAAAAATGGGAAACGTACGTTGAAAAAGGATGTAGCCATGAGACATTTGCTGGGGTCACAGTAGCACGAGTTAATTTTTAAGATGTTACAAAATTGTCATATGTAGGCCTTCTTTAAGGATTAAAATCGGGCTTGGTTTTTGTTGTTAACGTTAACCCCACAATCAAAGCGCATTTCCAACACATTTTACAAATCTGAAGGCGTGTTTTCGGTATACTACAAGGATGTTTAAATTGCCTATGATGCAGCAAGGAAGAATTCCATTACCTTAATCTCAACTAGTCCCCAATAAGGTTACTTAAGATGGGCTCAAGTAGTTTAATGCGTGGGATAGCCTACATAACAGGCGCTTTGTGAGCCATGCGAGGCGAACGCAGCATTTTGCGCGAAGCGCGAGACAAGGGGAGGAGAAAAATAAAGCGCCTGTTACCAGTCCATTGCTCTGGCTCTTCCCACGTTCACTACATAAACGTTGCGTTCCAACTGGTTGATTGATAACGCGTTGTTCTGGCATGTTTTTTCTGTAGCAAAAATATCCGTCACGCATTCATGTTATTTTGGCGATGCTGTTCGAGAAGCCTTTCGTTTATTTCCAAATGTTCCAGAAATAAAAGAAAAACAAAAGAAATGTTTAAATTTATTGCTTAAGAGGAAAGATGTTCTTGGATTGCTTCCAAATAAGTTAGGAAAAAGCTTGATTTACTAACTTTTTTAAGTTAAGTGTTGACAGGCCAAACACAACTCATAAGCTCGTGACCTTGGAATTTGTTTAAACAACACGTGTTCCCTCTTTTCTTTCTCGCCGCTGTGTTTAGACATAACTAAACTTTGAATGAGCAAATCTTACTTTTGCCGCACTGAGTCTTACATTATTGAAGGTGATTTTCCCCTCGCAGTTATTTCCTGTGTTTTATGCTGTTGTCGGTGTTTCTGGTAGCCAAAAAGGTGACAATGTTTTAGTAATGGATCGTGTTTTGATTGGTCCTTTCGACATCACCGCCG